AGAAAGACCTCCCAAGATCTCATTGAAACGGCAAGGGAAAGACAGGTGGATGTCTTACTGGTCAGTGAGCAGCACGATATTGACGACATATCCCTCTACCAGGACACGACCAGACCTGCAGGAATTATAATACTTAACTCCAAAATACGAGTCTCTAAATTTAAAGTTACAAACCAAGATTTTGTATGGGTAGAAATGGACAGCCTTCTAATATATAGTTGCTATTTCTCCCCAAAGGACCGAATAGAGAAATTTAAGAAGCAAATCGATGAACTGGAGGCAAGCATGAACTCAGCCCCAGGTGAAATGATATTGACTGGAGACTTTAACAGCACGTTCCCGGAATGGGGCGAAAGTAGAACTGATCGCAGAGGTAATATTTGCGAATTCTTGGCTAGGAAGGACCTGGTGGTCCTAACACAGGGAGCTCATGTACGTTTCAAAGGGGCACAGCTTCGTCGATAATAGACCTAACAATAGGATCCACAAGGATTGCCAAGAATGTCCTGGATTGGCAGGTTCTCGACGCTGAAACAGCGATCAACGCTACATTGAATTCTCCACTTCATCCGCTGGAAACAGAGCTAGAAGAAGGAATCAGCCAAACATCGGTCCATACGGGAAACGTGCGAAACCGTTAAAAATACGTGTAACATCTCAATGCCCAGACGTAGGAGCCCAAAGGGGAAAAATCAGGTGTATTGGTAGCGACATTTGCAAAGTTTCGACAAGCATGTGTTAAAGCTATAAGACTTGCAACAAGAGCTAAAACGGACATTCTGCTGAGGGAAAATTACAAGACGGCCCGCAAAATACTAAAATCGGAGATTAAAAGAAGCAAAACAAAATGCTGGAAGGTCCTATTAATCGAGGCAAACAACGACACCAGGGGAAAAGCCTACAAGTTTTTATGGGCAAATTCAAACCTTCAATAACCGCGGGGCTAGAAGACCCCGAATGGGTGAAGGCAATTATGCAAGACCTTTTCCCTAATAGAGAATGCTGGGTAAAGAGCAGACCTTCTGATTACCTCTTCCACGAAGCCAACCGCTTCACGAAGGACGAACTAGTCCAGACGATGAAGAAGACCAAGATTGGGACTGCACCGGGGCTTGACGGAATTCCGAACGCGATCCTGAGAATAGTTGTAAAAAAATACCCAGAATGCCTTTTGAAAGCCTTTAACCAGTGTCTTGAACAAGGGAAATT